ATGTCTTTCAAAAATTTTACGTCTTCATTCTTGATTTTTAAGGATTTTCCCATTGTTGACTTTAGCACCAGTTCTCTGGTAGATCGTTTCGTGAATTTTAGGTAGGTTTCTCCTGGGAGTTTGTTTTTCTTTATAAAGTCCGGATAAGTCTTATAAGCCACATCCATCTCTTTTATTAAATCTTCGTGTTTATAATCTATTAATGGGGCCAAGACAACCACCAAGAGTTCTTTTAAATCCTTGTTCTTCTCTTCAGGGATGCCATGAAAACGTAGAACGTGCATGGATCTTTCCAGCTGGAGCTGTATTCGTTGCGTTTTATCAGAGGAACTCTCCTTCTCTGCTTCATCCACTCTTTTGTTAATGCTCTCAGTCTGTTTTTTCCATCTTTTTCAACGTTTTCTCAGTTGAGGTTCTTTTATCCATTTGGTTCAATTGTTTTTGGACATTGTCCACCTTAGTGTTGAGGTTAGTCATCTGATCCATTAGGGGGCTCAGTGCATTCGCTAACAGTGAAGAAAAGTCTGTAGTTACTTCCTGGTTCTGGGAGGGAGTCATTGGTATGGTATTTCCGGTCACCAGTTTTTTCTCCGGTGCCCTCCGTCCTCTCCCAGCCATAATATCAACAAGAAGTAAGTTTTCCAAAACAAGACAAAAGTTGTGAAATTTAATCCCACTTTGTATACTTTAGCAGTTTTTGCATTCGCCTAACTTATTATGCGCTTCTTTTAGCTCAAAGTCTTTATTTCCAATTTAAAACCGTTTTTAGAGTTTACTCAAAAGAGGGGTGTGTGTGCTTGAATTCCTCTCCCCCAGCGCTTCAAACTTAGGCGCTTCCGATTACTACCAAGGTTCAGTTCACTTTTTTCACCTGAACTTTGCTTAACTCACAGTTTGGAGCCTTGGAGATCTTTTGGAAGCATTTTAAGAAGTTTGATTGTGATCACTTGCTCTGGCAGTTGTCTCTGGGTGCCATATTGACTCCGCGGTGATGGTACCTTTTGGGGAAGAAGGTGAGCCTCAATTCCTTGGCCATCACCTTGAAAGAGGCTCTCCTCAGCTCCCCAGGCTGGGGGTCTCCTACAGAGAACCCGGGGAGGTCCGGGACAAACCTGGATCCATCCCGTCAGCCATCAGAGCGAGACGGGACGCGTCTGAGTGGCGAAACGCTTAAACTGGAAGTCTGCATTGAAGTTTTTGATGGCATAACTATGCCGTTTCGGGGGACATTCCCAGGCAGGGATGGTTTAAGGAGCCAGCTAACTTCTGCCATGCCCCTGGGCCCACTCCTTCCACTTCTAGTGCAAAGGGTTGCACCAGTGGTATTCTGGCCCGGGTCCAGGGTATCTCTCAGGTCTGCCAGATCTCTGAGATACTCTGGCATAGTGGCTGGTCAGGTGGTCCTCTGGCATAGTGGCACTCCTCCCCCCGCCTCAGGATTATGCTTTTCGTCCCTATCCATTCATATAACTCATTACATCTTGAACCTGTACATTCTGATTCAGCGCCAGAGAGTGATTTCCAAATAACCGGTCAGAACCCAGCCTCAGGGCAAAGGAAGCCTTGTGGATGGGCTGCCAGTATACCTGCACTGGGAATGGCCCACTGCACTGAAAAAGTTGCTCTTTGAAAATCTGGAGCACAACTGCTCTTACCGTCCATTTGAGACTCTCCACTAGATCTTGATTTAATAAGATGAAGCAAGTTTTCTTAATGTTATACACTTATTACCCATGTAAATTTGCAGAAATGAGGTGCCAGCACCATATAAAACACAGAGGTGTCCAGAAGACTTGTAGTCAAAGGGCAAAATGAGACAGTTTGTGTGCAGTTCCAGGATTCTTTTCCTGAGGGCACAGCTCAGGTGCAGATAGGTTAAGAGTGATTGGGGGACTGGTAGAGGGAGGGGCAAAAGAGCTGTTTAACTCTTTCCTTTCCAACTGTTTGTTTACTCAAAAGTGCCACTCTGACTTTCTTTCTGTCTTTGTGATGGCAGATACAGGTCCTCATATAATTTATCTCTCAGAGGGGAAAAGAGCTGAAGAAGGATTGTGTACAAATGGCTGTAGAAAAAAGAGCTATGTGCCCCCTCCCACAGGTTCTCCACTTAATCTGGAACACACACAGCTCCTCTGCTTGATAAAAGACATTTGGAGGAATAGAGGATCACGGTACAAGATAAACAGATGAGATGTGGTGGGCAGGATCCAGGCCTTGGTCAAATAGGAAAATGGAGCAGGAGTTTGGTGTAGTGGTTAGGTGTGCGGACTCTAATCTGGGAGAACCGGGTTTGATTCCCCACTCCTCCACATGCACCTGCTGATGTGACCTTGGGTCAGTCGCAAGCTCTGGCACAGCTGTCCTTGAAAAAGAGCAGTTTGTGTCAGAGCTCTCTCAGCCCCACCCACCTCACAGGGTGTCTGTTGTGGGGAGGGGAAGGGAAAGGAGTTTGTAAGCCGCTCTGAGACTCCAAGTGAAGGGCGGGGTATACATCCAATCTCTTCTCTTCTTCTTAACTAATAGTGTTAACATAGTAAAAAAAATGCCTTCACTTGAGACTGACTGAAAGGAAAAGAGAATTACCTTCAGTAGGATCAAAACTGAGATGCTGTTAACTTGGGCAAAAGTCATGTATCATGTGATTCTTTTATTACCCTATTTTTTGTAAGTGAGAACTCAGATCTTGCTTAGAACATACTGCTGCCCTGACTTCTAAAACTGATGCACATTAATTGATCATCTTGTCCTCCTCTCTCAAATACAGACACAAACACTGATAATGTAACCTCACTGCTGTTTTATACATGCTCTCCTATAATAGGTCTGGTTTCAAAACCGAAGAGCCAAGTGGCGGAAGCGTGAGAAGTGCTGGGGCCGCAGCAGTGTCATGGCAGAATATGGCCTTTATGGTGCTATGGTGAGACATTCCATCCCACTACCTGAATCCATCATCAATTCTGCCAAAAGCGGGTTAGTGGGCTCCTGTGCCCCTTGGCTACTTGGTAAGGAAAGTTGTAGTGCTTGTCATGTCTGAATGGGTTGTGCTAAAACTCTTAGTAGGCACATTGATGAACAAAATCTATTAAGAAAGCATGGATTCTGTAAGAGAAAATCTTGTCTCACTGACCTTTTAGAGTTCTTTGAGGGGGTGAACAAACATGTGGACAAGGGTGACCCAGCAGATGTTGTCCAGAAAGCTTTTCATAACATTCCTCATCAAAGGCTCCTGAGTAAACTCAGCAGTCACAGGATAAGAGGACAAATCCTCTTGTGGATTAAAAACTGGTTAATTAACACAAAACAGACAGAGTATAAGTGGGCAGTTTTCACAGTGGAAGGTGGTAAGCAGTGGGGGTACCACAGGCCTCAGTAATAGGTCTGGTGCTTTTTAACTTGCTCATTAATGATTTGGAGTTGGGAATAAGCAGTGAAATGGCTAAGTATGCATATTACTCTGAATTGTTGAGGGTAGTGAGAACCAGGGATCTGTTGAGGCTGGGCTAGTGGGCATCAGCATGGCAAATGAGGTTAAATGTGGGCAAGTGCAAAGTAATGCACATCGGAGCCAAAAATCCTAACTATAAATATATGTTGATGGGGTCTGAGCTGGTGGTAACTGATCAGGAGAGAGACCTTGAAGTCATGGTAGATAACTCACTGAGAATGTTGAGAATGTTGACTCAGTGTGTTACCACAACAAAAAAGGCAAGTGCTATGCTGGGGATTATTAGGAAGGGGATTGAAAAAAAGATCAGTCAGTATCATAATGACCCTGTATAAATTGATGGTGTGGCCTTATTTGGAATACTGTGTATAGTTCTGGTCACTGCGCCTCAAGAGTGATATTATAACACTGGAAAAGGTGCAGAAAAGGGAAACTAAAATGATTAAGGGGATGGAACACGGTTCCTAAGAAGAAAGTTTAAAGACATTAGGGTTCTTTATCTTGGAGAAGCGATGACTGAGGAATTACAAAATTATGCATGGGATAGAGAAGGGGGGGGGAAAGAAGAACCTTTCTCCCTTTCTGACTATACAAGAACTCATAGGTACTCAATGAAATTGATGAGCAGTAGGCTTAGAACAGATAAAAGGAAGTACTTCACCGAAAGAGTAATTAACATGTGGAATTCACTGCCGCAGTAAGTGGTAGCAGCTACAAGCACAGAGAGCTTCAAGAGGGGATTTGATAAACATCTGCAGCAGAGGTCCATGAGTGGCTATTAGCCACAAGGTATAGATGGAGCACTATGTCTGGGGCAGAGATGCTCTGTATTCCTGGTGCTTGGGGGGGCAACAGTGGGAGGGCTTCTGGAGTTCTGGCCCCACTTGTGGACTGGATGAGCCATTTTCCTGATCCAACATGGTTTCTCTTATGTTCTTATTCAGCTGTTATAAAGGCCTCTCACTCTTCTCTGTCAGTGTAGACTTGACTGGAGTCACCAAGGCACAGCATACATTTAGCCCCCACCTTAGTCTCTTTAGCCTTCTCATTTAGGTAAAAAATAGTGCTGAACAAAGGGACACTATTTCAGTGATGGAAAAATCTGCCACCCACAATTCCTGACCGTGTGGTTTTCACTGACAGCCATCCCATAGTTCATTGCATGCATGCATGCATGTATGTGCACATTCATGGGCATACACATGCCTACATTCATTGTAATATTTAAGCCTTTCCTCTACATATATCCCAGCCATCATAGTATTAGTACTTTCAATACACATTACAAAGAGGTTAAAGATGTCAGCAACTTTACTATTTAGATATTATTTTAAAATTACTACTTAATACTTATTTGACACTTAATTTTCAAGTTTGAGAAAAAAGAGAAAGATTGGTAGGTGACATTGTATCTCAAACAGAATTGACTTTGTCTACAGTGAACTGTGAGATATCATTAGGCATAGCAGAATTTTTCCATGTATTAAGTGTAAATAAACTAACTATCTCAAAGCTAATGGGGTGGTCCTACCCCTATCCCGTCACTCCAATGAGCAAAGTTTGAAACCTTCTTCCAACTTACTCCACTGGAGTAAGAACTACTTAAGTAGGAGAAAGGCTCCTTGGAGAATGGTTGGAGCCATTCCAATGACCCCCACTTCAGTCTAACCCTCAATGCATGGTAGGGGAGCTGTAAACACAGATGAGTTGACATGTTTGTGAAACATGCAATGGCTGTCCCATCAGATATACACGGGTAGTGATCTGAAGAGCCATTGTTCAAGCTTCAAAATAGGCAAAAGCGGGCACAGTGATAATTTAATGTAGGTAGCTAGCATGAAGGACCTCTTAATATAGATGTAATTGTATTTGTACTGGTCCCATTTTAGGTCACAATTATGTCTGGACTGAATCCAAATGCCACAATAATATAGCACCTAGCATCTGTAAAGTGAATTTAATGCATAATGGGGCTGAAATGTAAGCAAATGTAGACATTCATTGTCTGAATATCATCCCTAAATAGAACTGACTTTGATTTTTTTTTAAATTCCTGTGTAGAATAGTTAAGATTGATTTGTGACTTGTGCCAATCCCAACAAAAAATCCCAACTTCAAGTATAGTTTAATGGGGTCTGAACTTGCTGAGAGTGAGAGGGGGAAAAGATCTTGGGGTTGTAGTGGATAGTTCAATGAAACTGACAACCCAGTGTGCTGCAGTGGTGAAAAAGGCAAACTCTGTGTTAAGGATTATTAGGAAAGGGATTGGAACTAAAATGGCCGATATTATTATGCCCCTGTATCAATCTGTGCTGCGGCTTCATTTGGAACACTGTGTACAGTTCTGGTCACTGTATCTCAAAAAGGACATAGCAAAGGTAGAAAAATACAGAGGAGGGCAACCAAGATGATCAGGGGGGTTGAAGCACCTTCTTTATGAGGAAAGGCTGAAGAGTCTGGGACTTTTCAGTTTAGAAAAGAAGCAACTAAGGGGGGACATGATAGAGGTCTATAAAATTATGCATGGGGTGGAGAGAATTGACAAAGAGGACTTTTTCTCCCTCTCCAAAAATACTAGAACTCGAGCGCACCCAATGAAGCTGATGGCCAGTAAATTGGGGATAGGCAAAAGGAAATACTTCTTCACATAGCAAGTGATAGAAATGTGGAATTTGCTGTGAGAGGATGTAGTAATGCCCACAGGCTTAGATAACTTTAAACTAAGATTCATGGAGGATAGGTCTATCAGTAGCTACTAAAGGGAACCTCCATGTTCAGAGGCGGTAAACCTCTGAATACCAAGGTCAGGAGACATCATTGGGGAAAGTTTTGGCCTTTATGACCTGTTGCTGGTCCTCTGGAGGAACTGGTTGGCCACTGTGTGAGATACGATACTCTGGGCTGAGGCAGGGAATCACTTCTTTCTAAAATATTGATAGAGAAAGGGAGGTGAGGGCGAGGGATTATCCTGCTAGTCTGGTGCTACATGCCACCTCTTTTTCTCTCTCCCTTGTAGGAGAGGGAATGTTCTTCTGATCCTGCTGGAGATCCAGCAGGATTTGACCTACCTACACTCCTATTTCCAGTCCAGCACTGTTTAGGGTTGCCAGCTCCAGGTTGGGAAATACTCAGAGATTTGGGGGGTAGAGTTTGGGGAGGCGAGGGACTTCATTGGGGTATAGTGCCATACAGTCCACCTGGAGGTCAGTTGTAATTCCAAAAGATCTCCAGCCACCACCTGGCAGATGGCAATCCTAATACTGTAACAGTGTTGCCTATGGATAGAAACAACACAGCTCCACCACATTTACCTGCAACAGAGAATGTGATTATTTGTTAAGCTGAGTGTCCAGGCTAGAATGCATGAATGGGGAGCAGTTGTATGTCATGCACAGCACTAAAGAAAGAAGGAAAACGATGAACAGAGAGAAATAGCCACAGAGAACCAATCATACAAAAGGTTAAAAAATATTAACAATTGGTCCCACGAACATGGAAATAAAGGTGGCTGAGATCTGGAAAGGCGGAAGAGTACATACAAATCAGGAACATGAATTATTTTTTTAAAAAATTGTTAATCGTTCAGGAGGAGAAGTTACAGCATCCAGCTGTAACAGCATCCAGCTGTAACAGATGAGTTTGCCCACAGATTAAGGTAAATACACAGTGCTAGAGAATGTGCTGCAAAAAAGTTCATACAGAAAGGAGACCTGAACCCCGCCCAACTCCCAAACCAAATATTAAGAGACAGTGGAGGCATTTATACTTGTTTCAGTGGACTTTGGATGTGCCTATTTTTAACAGTAAAATAGGCAGAATTATAAAGTAACAATGAACAGTGATATATTTTGATGAAGTTACATCATGGTTTAATCAGTGTTCTCTTTCAATCTGATCTTGTTTGTTTGTTCCTTTTTGAAGGAATGCATAAGAAATCAATGGATGTTTCAAGAAAGCCTGAAAGTGAGGAAAAAGGGAATGGTGGCTGGAAGTCTGAACACTCTGATGAGGAATTAAAAAATAAGGAGAAACAGGAGAGAAGCTCCAGTGACAAATTCCGCTCAATGGACAATTCTGAAGATATTGCAATTGACCTCTCAAGTACAGCAAGACATGAGAAAAAGAGCAGCACTTTGAGACAGTGTCTCAGTGGAGGGCCACAGCCAAAAATGAAGGATAGTGAGCACTAAGCATGGTGAAGAAGTCATCCATAGCACAACTTAAAAGAAAAGAAATCTTCAATACTCTGGGGAAATATTAATAATTGTTTTAATATTTATTAGTATTTTTCAACTAACAATACAGTATTTTACATTCAAATAGGAACTTTTTGAGATGGGGCACATCAAAGATATTAATTTATTTTTTCAACTTGAAAGTTGTTTATATGTAAACATGATGATATTTCGGGATAGCAGAAATGTTTTCTTAATATGTTTCACTAAGTCACCTTTTTAGCAACTCTAGAAAGTTATTGCAAAACTCTAAAACAAAAAAAGGGAAGAGAACTCTGCAAGCTAAACAGAGATATGGTAGTGATTAAAACAAAGTGGGAAAAAATCAGAGATGATGATCAAACCTGGTTTCAGGCAGGGGTTACAAGAATGGATAATTCGTATGTCTGGGGACATTAAATTTGCCAGACACTAAATGAAGAGACAGAACAGTCATAGATGAACAGGCTCTATTGCAGAGTTACTTTGCCTAACCATCAAGGGCTTCACAAATATGGAGCATATCGCAGGGCTCTTTTTGTAGAAAAAGCCCAGCATGAACTCATTAGCATAACAGGCCACACCCAACAGCAGAAACTCATTAGCATATTAGGCCACACCCCTGACAGCACAGCTCATTAGCACATTAGGCCGCACCCCCATGTTACCAGAAGTGTGGTTATCCAGCCACACCCACCTTTTGCTTGTTATTCTGTTTACCTTGTTTGTTGTCAAAACCCAGGGCCTTTTTTTGTAGCAGGAACTCCTTTGCATGTTAGGCCACACACCCCTAATGTAGCCAATCCTAATGAGTTTCTGCTGTTGGGTGTGGCCTATTATGCTAATGAGTTCCTGCTGGGCGTGGCCAACTTGGGAGCCAGCCGGAACTCGGTTCCTGTGCGTTCCTGCCCAAAAATAGCCCTGAATATGTGCATAAAATACACATGAAGCCTCATGACGTCTCTTCCTTATAAATACAATTATGGACATTTTCTTTTGCTATACCAATATTAATATGTGGCAGAGCCAAGTAAAGATACTTCAGATGCTAGAGCTGGCCAGCAGGCTAACAGTTGGTATTTGTACTATGTGTGTGTTATGTGCCGTGAAGTCACTTTCAACTTATGGCCACTCCATAAATTAATGACCTCCAAAATGTCTTATCGTTAACAGCCTTGCTCAGGTATTGCAAACAGAAGGCTGTGGCTTCATTTATAGAGTCATATCTGTAGTATAGGACATTATTGATGATAGCTCTTTACCAAACTTTGCAGATGATCAGATAGTAAATTGATATAATTTAATGTCAGTGGGATTTGCTCAACACAGCACCATTGGAGTGAACCATCTTGCCCACATTCACAACTCTCAGTATGCACTGAGCTAGATTTTAATGTGTGCCAGAGAATGTTCTGTGCATCTCTAAAAAAATGATCTGGTACACTTTATTCTGTAACAGATACAGAGCAGACACATGTTCTATGTGTGTTTCCCATCACACATCTGAATTATTTTTTTTGACCCTGAGGAAAACTGATAGATACTGCTTGTACAGAATTCTGTGTTTGTAGCAAACCCCCTTGGTTTGCAGAGGAGATGCTGCATTGGGGTTCATGTGCTTACAGTTTGCCACAGCCTAGTTGCTGCAGAGAAGCAGACAGCTTCCAGAAACAGTTTGGCCTATATCATTAGCCACTGTAAATTGTTACAGAAGTCTGTAGCATTACAGTACATCATGCTAGATAAGGCGTTTGTCCTTTTAAATATTTGTATCAGCCTAAGAAATTAATTACACAGTTTTTCTTACTACGAATTTGTATTTGGGGGAAAATACGCAATAACTCTACATTTTGAATGTTATTATTTGACTTGCTATGCATAACAGAATTCAAATTTATATAAACATGTCAAGCCATAGAACCCAGAAATAAAATGTTGCTATTTTGTAACATAGAAAAATATTTTGTAATTATTATGTTTGTAAAAGTATTAATGTTTGACCTTTTTCTTGGTCTTTTGCTGTTTGTCTGAAGGCACTTTAGATACCTGCATTTTTCTGAATGTTATCTGACCTATTTTGTTTGTCACTTATTTATTATGTGTTCCTAAATAAAAGTTTTCTGTTTCTTTGTGAGCTTTCTTTTTTGTTTGGGGGTTCAAGCAGCAATTTTATGATTACACAGCCATTTGTATTACAAAGGCTTGTGCCAGTGAAGAACTTTGAGGTGCAGTGCTTAGGGGGCTTGCCTGTTTGTGAGACACTTCCTTCAACTTTTGGCTAAGCTACTATGATGCCATACAATGTTTATAAATACACTAAATTTTATGTTTACTGTGATTTAAATTGTGGATAAATAGCACTATTTCTGTGAAGACAATGAAAGACCAGGTGTGCTGAGAAAAACTCACAAATACCTTAGAAAGAGGAGGAGCTGTACGGGCAAGAGGAAAGCTGGAAGCAATAGAACCAGAGACAGAGAGGTTAGGTAAGCTGAGTGACATCTCAAATGTGGAATGGCTTTAAAAACCGCAGAGTTGGCAAGGGGCTGAGAAATGGGAACAATGCAGATGCCCGGGGGCAAGAAGATCAGAGAACGTGGCCAGAGAAAATATTAGAATGAGGGACAGAGTTTCAAAAACAAAACAGAAGGAAGGAGGCTGTCAAAAGCAAGTAAATTAAAATCACAATAAGCCAAAAATTTATAAAACCAGCAGCAGATAAAGACCACAAAACTCATAGGAGGTCATAAAACTGTCTAAAGTAGGCAAGTGCCTTTCTAAAAGCTGCCAAATGAACCTTATAGGGGAGGCCACTCCAAAATCTCTTTGATGTTACCAAAGAGGTCCTGTCATGCATTGCTCTCTGTTGAAAGGATGCCGTACAAAGCACGGTGTCACAAAATGATCTCAGCACCTGGGAAGGTTCCTGTTGGAAAATGAAGTATTTCAGGTATCCTAGCCTCAAACTTTAAAGGGCTACACCAAGTACTTTGAATTGCTCCCAGAAACAAATAGGCAGCCTATTAAATGCTATAGCTAGTATGTAGAAATGACAAAATATCTAACATAGAATATGTAGCAATGATGAAATTAGTTATATAATTGCAAAATAGATCAGTTATGAAATTCAAAATGTTTGAAGTAAGGACTATCCTATAGAAAATGTCTTAAAATTATAATGAAGAGGATGTTGGGAGAAATATTTTCTGTTCTATATACCCTGTTATGTATAATAACCTTTGATATATATAATTTGTTATATAACCCTTCTTTCCTTTTGTATCCTTTTCCTATCACTATCTTGTATCCCTTTCTACCACCAAATATATATGTATATATGAAAGAAACCAATAGGCAGCCAACCTGCAGATTAGAAAATGTGTAATATGATCCTACCAACAACCCCAAAGACATCAGTTGGACAGCTGCATTTTGGACCAATTCATGTTTTGGCTGTAGTTTTTTTAAATTAACAAGCATTTATAAATAATTTCAAAGGCAAAAATAAATAATTGATAAATATTTAGGATGGGTTCCAATTATTCTTGTCCACAAGGATGGATCCTTGATGTAGCAGGAACTGCAACTGTATAAGCAAACAGATGTACTGAACAGCCTGATCCATGAAAATAATATCAATATTCAGAAGACCATAATAGTAAAAACACTCTGACTGACAGATTTTCCTCATTTCTATTGCAGTAAATATTTGAAAATACTCTTTAAAAAACTTGACTGGAATATATAAGAAAATACTATAGACACTGGGGAGAAAGTACTTGTGACTCAGATTATTGTTGTCATTATCATCATTAATATTATTTATTAGGTTTAGTGATCACCCTATCCCAGTTTATGCTGGGCTCTGGGCAATGTACAAGACATAATGTCATAAAAATACAAAACATTAAATTTCATATATAACATAATAAAAAATTAAATGTAGACAAAAAATCCAATGGCAATTTTCCTATAATATTATTTATCCCAATTCCGGACTACCACCCCCTTTTCTGAGTGGGGCGAAGGGAACACAGAATATAAAGGGGGGGAGAAAGAAGGGTGCCAGCCAATGGGTAACCATTGCTGCCCTCAGCCAAATGCCTGGCAGAACATCCCTGTCTTACAGGCCCTGTGGAACTGCATAAGATCCCACAGGGCCCTAATGTCATTTGGCAGAGCATTCCACCAGGTCAGAGTCAGGACCGAGAAGGTTCTGTCCCTGATCGAGGACAGCCGGACATCCCTAGGGCCAGGGATCACCAGCAAGTTGTTATCGTTGAAGAGCGTAAAGCTCTCCTTGGGACGTACCAGAAAGGATGGTCCTGTAGATACGTTGATCCCAGACTGTTCAAGGTCAATAGAAGTCAATACCAAAACCTTGAACCTTACTCGTTAATCCACTGGAAACCAGTGTAGCTGGCTGTACATGATGCTGTCCGTGATGTTCCCATTAGGACTTGCACTGCAGGATTCTGGATCAGCTGGATTTTCCAGGTCAGTCTTAAGGGTAGGCCAGCGTAAAGTGAGTTACAGTAGTCTAGTCTGGAGGTGACCGTTGCACGGATTACTGTGGCTAGGTCAGGGTGCGACAGGAAAGGAGCCAGTTGTCGGGCTTGGCGAAGATGAAAAATGCCAGCCTAGTAACATACAATCCTAGAAGCTCAGAAAAAATATATACTGCAGGTTAGGAAAGGCACAAACAACAGGTATAGAAAAAAGCCTGCATGGTTAACAAACAAAATAATGGAAGCTGTAAAAGGTAAAAAGTATTCCTTTAAGTGGTGGAAAGCTAAGTGAGGTTGATAAAAGGGAACACAGGTTGTGGCAAATAAAATGCAAGTCTGTGATCAGGCAGCCAAAAAGGGAATATGACGAGCATATAGCGAAAAACGTAAAGACCAACAATAAAACTTTTTTCAAATACATTAGAAGCAGGAAACCAGCCAGGGAGGCAGTGGGGCCCTTGGATGACCAAGGGGTAAAAAGAGTACTGAAGGATGATTGGGAAATGGCTGAGAAGCTGAATGCATTTTTTGCCTCTGTCTTCACTGTGGAAGATCAGAAGTGCTTGCCCACTCCAGAACCGCTGAGTTCGGGAGGGGTGTTGAAAGACCTGAG